TGATGACGTCGCGACTTTAGTGACGCGATTTAATCTCCGCTATTTTGCGTAGCGCGGTTTTGTCGTGCCACGCAAAAATCAGCTGGCCGATGGGAGGCATGCACGTATGCGCGATGGAGCTTAGCTGGGCAACAACTCACATGCCCGCAGAGCGCCACAGGTTCGCCATCACAGTAATTTGCTATCTGACACCCAGGATTTTGAGTAAAGACATCAGTTGATCGCTAACTTAGGTTCGGTTTTTCTCTCCTTTCGCAACCAGGAGTTGAGGAGAAGAGTGTGACTCCCGAGAACTTGTTTTTGGAGCTCCTTCCATCCCTGGATTAAAATGGAAGAGACCCCGTTCCCTGTCTGGCCAAAAAAAGAAGACCTAGAAGAGGTCAGAGAAGCCCTTGGTGGCCTCCAGAAGGTTGCTGCCCTCAAACCCCGGGGAGATGAGGAAGGAGGAGGAGGTCCACCGTTGGAGTCAGTGTCTTCTGGGTGTATTGAACACTATCCACAAAGGACAACACCATCCCATTGGGTGAGAGAAGAAGCAAGAGAGGGTGTGAAGAGACGCTGGGAAGCCCAGTTGCAGGTGTTTCTGAAGAAGATGGAGTCCCCTTGTTCCACCTGGACATCTGCACCCTTGGCGGGGGAGACTACCCCGTGGGACAATGCCAAGGCATTCTTCGATTCCTTTGAGCAAGTGGCCAAAGCTTGCCAGTGGCCCAGGGAGGAATGGGTAGCCAGGCTCTTGCCGGCTCTCAGTGGAAAGACACAACAGGTCTTTGACAGGATGGTTGCCAAAGATAAGATAGATTACGGGAAAGTGAAAGCAGCCATCTTGCAAGGGGACGCCCAGCAGAGGGAAAAGCATCGTCAGCACTTCCGGCATTTCTGTTACCAGGAGGCGGAGGGACCTACCGCAGCATACAGTCGGCTCCAAGATCTTTGTTATGGGTGGCTGAAAGTGGAGAGACACTCTAAGGAGCAGATCCTGGAGCTGTTGATCCTGGAGCAATTCCTGGCGATCCTGCCCCCGGAGATCCAGAGTTGGGTCTGGGAATGCAGCCCCGAGACTTGCTCCCAAGCGGTGGGCCTAGCCGAAGAGTTCCTTCAGCGTCAACGAGAGGCCAAGGAGCGCTGTGGGAAGCAGGTGAGACGTTGTGGGACTCGGGTGTAGAAGATCGCAGAAGTCTCCCCCAGTGGTGGGTTTCAAAAAAATTTCGAACCTACTCTGAGGATGTGGCCTCCTTTGTGGGAGTGGCTTGCGCTCCATGTGTTTTCTCTCTCTCTCTCCTCTCTCTCTCTCTCTCTCTCTCTCTCTCTCTCTCTCTCT